TTTAAAATATTCAAAAATTTCTATGTAAATATATGTTTTTGCTTACATATTGTATATAAAATAATATCATAAACACCTAAAATGATGTGTTAGAAGATGATCTAATATAGATATTAAAACGCTATTTTAAAAAGATAGATTTTGTTTTTGAGTGGAAAATTCTTGGAAAAGCTTGACTAAGGGGAAAACCCACTTTTTGTTATTGTGATAGGAACAAAACTTGATTTGCACGAGTCATTTCCCCAATATGATATTCTCGTAAAGTGCTCAGGTAGCTCGTATGTTTTTTTTCCATTAGGCGGGTCTCTACGGTTTGAGTTTCCCAAAATTATTAGTTTACTCTGAAAGGTTAACGCACCATACAGCTGCTTTCTAAAATTCCAAAGTTTGACAAGAAATTTAAATTCGACACTACCGGTGCCAGATGTGTAATCTACCTGCCACAAACTGCCATTTGTCTGTAAAATGTAGTTGTGTTTGTCATTTTTAAAACTAATCAGCTGTTCAGCTGGTCCATCAAGGGTTTCTAATCTGGTCCAAACTTTAGACGAAATCTCAAATTTATGAACGGCCGTTTTCTCTATACCGTTAACCAATTCAGTGCAAAATAACAAAAGAAAATTTTCCAGAATAATTGCAAGCTTTACATCAACATCATTTGAAGGAAGATCTGTAATTTTTTCTAAATTTGGTTCCCTCTTTTTTGGATTGATGTTAAATATTACTTTGTTGTTTTTGTTTATGATGTAAATAAAATCTCCGTGTGAAACTAATAACAAATTGTGACTTGGCATTTCCATGACTTTTCTCCAGCTTTTGTCAGAGAACACAAACATTCGAAAATCTGGGGTTTGTTCTTCATTTCCTGCAGCATAAAGTTCACCATCAAAAGTAACGAGTTGAATGTTCTTTTTCAAATATTTGCATTGTGTAATTGTAAACTGGTGTTCTTTTTCAGCGGTTATTATATTAAAAATCCCACTACCATAAACATAAATTCCAGCATTTGTGTACTCACTACAAGATCTGTGTGTAGCCGCGGACGACCACTGACCGTGTCTAAACTTTTGGATCTGATATGACATGGCGTCGAGAATCAATTCTCTCGAATGTTCAATTTCAGAAAACAGTCTCAACTTAAGAACTCGATATAAAGCAGCATGACTGATCAGGCAGGTTCTGACTTGCATTAACAGTTCTGTAAGTTTAACTTTTCTAGAAGACTTTACAGTATTAGTTGAATGAGTAGTAGTTACTTCTTGCACTGCTGTAATTTCAGTCTTATTTGAATTCTGTAAGCAATTATTATGATGAAGTTCATCCTCACTTTCTTTAAATTTCTTCGCTTCATCACTGGATAAATTGATATCAGTATTTACGTCGTTACAGCTTATTGTATAGTTATGATCCTCATTTAAAATCTGATTTAGCTGATTTCCGTCAACATATTCAACCCATTGTATCACAAATTCAAGAACTAAATCTTCTTTACTGACAACGAGATCTTGGCTTTTAATCAAATCCAGAACTTCCTCGAAAGAAAGCTGTAGAAATGTTGTTGAAAATCTAATTTTTTCAAAGTTTTTTAACATGAATGTATGGAGTTTATCTAGCACTAAATCTGAACCGAAACGCTTTGCATGTAGATAAATGTTTTCCCATGTGTCCAATGAACATGATCTGATAGCAAACTCCTCACAAACATTAACCATAAGTTTAACCTGTAGCATATGAGCTGCTTGCCACACTTCAATAATATTTTCTACGGTTAACAGACTTGTTCCAGTGTAAATAGTATTGATGATTAGACGGAAAACTTCACTCGACACATCTTTTAGGACTAGACAGTTTTCCGTGACCTCTCTCATCCCAGAACGAAAACATGCCTTAAAAAATTCTGAACACGCCGCTAGGATGAGTCGATGACATTGGATGGTTTCATCCTGAACTTTCACAGCGAAGTCAAATAAAATGTTCTCATTCCACACATTCTCCAGACTCTGGACGATCTGGACACAAAATTCTTTTTTGTTCATCTTTTTATCGTAGATCGGATGTAAATAATAAAATAAAGTGCGGCATTTGCTGACCAGATAACACTAGTGCTTTATTGGTGCGAAAGAAATTTCAATGCCAATTCGTTAACCATAGTGCGCAAAATTAAATTGGGTATTTTAATAATAGGCATGAAAGTCTATGTAATCACACCAAATTTGTAAAATAATATTTTTACTTTCTCGTATATACGAAGTATAGAGAAAGTCTTGCGTGTATGTGTAAACACGATAACTTGAGTACCGTTAGATCTAGGTCGATGAAATTTCATATATAAGTATTTTATCAACATCGTAGATCCTGATCAACTTTTGAGCGATTTCGGATAACCGGAAGTGGTACTTTTTCTACTTTGAATTTTTCAAAAGCCTATAACTTGAGTACTATTTCAGATAGATAAATGAAATTTCACATGTAAGTAAAAGATCTAATACTCTAACTTCTTTCAAATTTTGAGTAATTTCCGTTGAACAGAATTACTAATTGTAGTGAACGAGTGAAGGTGGATGAATGGGGGTGAATGTTGTCGTACTTGGTACCCTGTCCCTTTCGACCTTCTTCAGTTCTCGTGCTGTGAGTTATAATAGTCCAGTTTGTACCAGTTTATGAAAGGGTATATAAGGTGTTTGAAAACGTGTGTGATTGCCTCAGTTTTGTCCAGATCTCAAGGGTTAGTACAGGTTAGGTACCAATCATAACTGAGTGGACTCACAGACGTCTTACAGACTCGAGCCAGGAGTTCGAATCCAAAACTTTCTAGTTGGTAGTCGTATGCTCTGACTTCATGGTCGAATGACAGACCATACTACTTCTAACCTGAAAGTCTCCAGTTCTAATCCGTGTTCGAGTGCGTGGAATGTCTCGTAGTCAAAGCAGCTCTGATGGGTACCTACAACAGGTTAGGGACGTAAGGAGGCTCGACATTACAACTACTTTAATGCACACGGAAAGGTGTAAGATTATTTGTTTAAGAAAATGTTACGTTGCTTTCTATGCCGTCTGGAATTTTGTCGAAAATTTAATTATTAAATAAAAAAAAAAAAGTAATTTTTTCTATGCCAACAGTAAGATCGAAAACTCATCGTTAACACGGTTGCTTCCATTAGAGAAAAACATGCATTTTATGAAATGACTAGACTACCCGTCATCCGTTGGATAACTGTGGGTTTCGGGGGTCATCCATCAAAAAACATCACGTCTGTCACTCAGAGGCATAGCGACCCTTCCCGGCGCCCGAGGACAAACTTTTCGATTTGAACCCCCCTCCCCCCCCCCGCAGGATTTCCATTTGCAACCCCCCCCCCCCTCAAACTTTTGATGTGCACCCCCCCCCCCCCTCAAACTTTCGATTTGCACCCCTCAACCTTTCAATTTATTTTTCCAACCCATTTTGGCGCCCCCTGAGGTCGGCGCCCGGGGACATATGTCCCCCCCCCCCTTGCCCCCCCTCCTCGCTACGCTACTGCAGTGTCACTTATCGTCACAAAAAACAGACCCCACATTCAAAAATATGTTTTTTATCTTTTAAAAACACCGAAAACACCGATTTCGGACTATCCCTTCATATACTGACGTCACAGGTGACCTACTCAACTCTACTTCACCTGCCCAGTGTCCCGCCAAGTCTCAGACAACATGTTTTTATCGTTTAAAAAACGATTCCAGCCGAGCATGTCTCTGACCACACTATCCCTTCATATGCTTAGGACAAAGAAACAGATGAACCCTACTTCACCTGCCCTGTGTCCCGCGAGGTCCTGATAGTCAACCTTATCATTCACATATAGGGCTTAAGAAAAAATAATTGAAAACGTAAAAAAAAAAGTTCTATTAATTTTTATGACACTGACTTTAAAATTTAGCCTTCATTCTCCAAAGCAAATTTTAAAATGCTTTTCTGGCATATCTAGCCCTGGCCACCTATACCATGTTTAAATAATGTGAACACCCGCCATTTTGCTCGTGGTAAACATGGCCTAAAAATGGTCGGAAGTCATGTGTCCGGTCCGGACGCCATATTGTTGTTAGCAGCCGACCACGCCTCCAAGTTAGTGAGTAATCCTACTATATCTAGATATAGAACCTAGATTTTAAAAATCCCATGTATTCTCGAATTAGATGATCATTGAAGCTAAACAAAGATTTATATAAAATAATTAAGGCCTGAAATAGATTCTAGATGTAGAATTTACATTAAGTCTAGATCTAGAATTTACATTGAGACTAGAGTGACCTAGATCTAGGCTAGATCTAGATCTAGATCTAGAACTAGAATCTAGGCTACGTTCATAACTTTCCTTCGACAGCTGATCTTTAGATCTAGAGAAATTTATTGTAAAACTAAATGAAAAAAGACAGTTGAAAATTGATATAAGTGTTGGAACGTAATAAATACAGCAAACGGACGTATTGTTAAAGTTATGACCGACAGAAAATTAGATTTAGAACGCGTTAAACTTTTGAATGGGAACACAATTTTCTTCGATAGACGCCGCCATTTTATTGTAATAAAGAGTAAACAAAAAACTGTGACGTCACGGTCCCGCCGAGTGTAGTGGTCGTTCTAATCTTTTTAAAAAAATAGGGTTACTCTACGTATGAATAAATCAATAAATTAATTAACGTCTTTAAATAAATTTGTGATTAACAGTCTGCATTAAAAAATTATTCTCTACCTACATACTATTTTACAGCTCTCCAGATAGAGTAGAACATATCACAATACTCGATCGGACAAATAAAAAAACAAACAAATAAATATTCAAACATGTAAACAAACTTGACTTTTAGTAGTATTAGATAGATAGATTGTTAATAAAATACCTATTTCATTTTGCGCACTATGGATAACTATATTTGCCTTTAATTTTGTTTCGCACCAATAAAGCACTCTTGTTATCTGGTCAGCGAAAACCACATCTTATTTTATTATTTTCATCCGACCTACGGATACAACATGAGCAAACAAGAGGTTTGTGTCCAGATCGTTAACAGTCTGGCGAATGTGTGGAGTGAGAACATTTTATTTGACTTCGCTGTGAAAGTTCAGGATGAAACCGTCCAATGTCATCGTCTCATCCTAGCGGCGTGTTCAGAATTTTTTAAGGCATGTTTTCGTTCTGGGATGAGAGAGGTGACAGAAAACTGTCTAGTCCTAAAAGATGTTTCATGTGAAGTTTTCCGCTTAATCATCAATACTATTTATACAGGAACAAGTCTGTTGACTTTAGACAATTTTACTGAAGTGTGGCGCGCAGCAAATATGCTACAGGTTGAAGTTATGATTAATGTTTGCGAGGAGTTTGCTATAAGATCATGTTCATTGGACACCTGGGAAAACATTTATCTACATGCAAAGCTTTTCGGTTCAGTAAAAGTTCTCGATAAGCTCCATTCATTCATGTTGAAAAACTTTGAAGTAATTAGACATTCAACAACATTTCTACAACTCTCGTTCAAAGAAGTTCAGGATTTGATTAAAAGTCAAGATCTCGTTGTAAGCAAAGAAGATTTAGTTCTTGAATCTGTGATACAATGGGTTGAATATGTTGACGGAAAGCAGCAAAATCATATATTAAATGACAATCATAACTATACAATAAGCTGTAACGACGTAAAGACTGCTATTAGTTTACCCAGTGATGAAGCGAAGGAAATTAGAAATAGTGAGGATGGACTTCATCCTAATGATTGCTTACAAAATTCCCATAAGACTGTAAGTGCAGCAATGCATGAAGTACACACTGCTCATTCATTTGATCCTGTAAAATCTTCTAGAAAAGATAAATTTATAGAACTGTTAATACATGTCAGAACTTGCCTTGTCAATCATGCTGTCTTATATCGAGTTTTGAAGTTGAAACTGTTTTCTGAAATTGAAAATTCGAGAGAATTGATTCTGGACGCCATGTCATATCAGATCCAAGAGTTTAGACACGGGCAGTGGTCGTCAGCGGCTATACACAGATCTTGTAGTGAGTACACAAATGCTGGAGTTCTTGTATATGGTAGTGATGGGATTTTCGAATTAATAACTGCTGATAAACAGCAAAATTTTAATTTTACACAATGTAAATATTTGAAAGAGAACATTCAACTCGTTATTTTTGACGGTGAACTTTATGCTACTGGAAAACAACTGAATCAACCAAATGAACTTTGTCGAATGTTTGTTTTCTGTGATAACAACTGGAAGGAAGTGATAAAAATGCCCTGTCCCAATTTGTTATTAGTTTCACACATGGACTTCATCTACATCATAAACAAAGACGATAAAGTTTTATATAGCATGAACCCAAAAAAGAGGGAACCAATTTTAGAAAAAATTACAGATTTTCCTTCAAATGATGTTGAAGTAAAACATGTAATGGTTCTGAAAAACTTACTTCTATTATTTTGCTCTGAATCTGTGAACGGTGTAGAGCAGATAGCCGTCCATAAATTTGAGATTTTGTCCAAAGTTTGGACCAGATTAGACAATCTTGATGGACCAGCTGAACAGCTGATAAGTTTTAAAAATGACCAGCACGACTACATTTTACAGACAAATGGCAGTTTATGGCAGGTAGATTACACATCTGGCACCGGTAGTATTGGATTTAAATTTCTTGTCAAACTTTGGAATTTTACAAAGAAGCTTTATGGTGCGTTAACCTTTCAAAGTAAACTAATACTTTTTGGAAACTACTACGGTAGTGACCCGCCTAATGGAAAAAGAACATACGAGCTACCTGAGCACTTTACGAGAATATCATATTGGGGAAATGACTCGTGCAAATCAAATTTTGTTCCTATCACAATAACAAAAAATGGGTTTTAGAAAGAAACTTTACAGTGCGTTAACGTTTCAAAGTAAACTAATAGTTTTGGGAAACAAACCCAACAATGATAAACGTAATGAAAAAAAACTCCCTTTGCTTCCTGAGCACTTTACGGAAATATCCTACTGGGGAAATAACTTTTGCTGTTCAAATTTTATTCCCATCAACATAACAAAGAATGATTTAGTTCCCGTTAAAATGGTCTAGTGTGGAATATATGAAATGCGTGTGACGACACACAGTTCAAGATTTTTGTATAGGTTTAATCGTCGTTTGGTCTACTAGATCATCCTTTTATATATCACTATGTTTATTTCTATCATTTTTACACGATAGGCAGATATTCGTTAATACAAAACTACAGTTTAATTTTGTTTTTGAATAGTCTATACGTTTATTCATTTATTCCCCCTGAAAATAATTAAATAAATAAAACAAAATTTATTAATGGAGTCACTGTTGCATTTGATATTTATAAATCACTTAAACTGTGGATGTATGTGTGTGTGTGTTTGTTTTGAGTGAGGGTAGATTGTGGAGGAGATTTAATTGACGGGACGAGTAATGTAGAGTATACATGGATGAGAAGAGTAGTATGGTAATGAACTAGAACTCGTTAAGTTTGAATTAAGGCAAACTTAAGTGGTCACCAAACCAACGATTCAGAAAGTTATCGAATAGCCTTTTTTTATACAGAAAAATTTTTTGACAGACACTTAGAGCGTTTGCGGTATATGACTTAAATAATGTATGCGATTCTGTAACAATTTCAGGGAACAAATTTGTTTTATTTGTTCAAAAGCCATCGGTGATAACTCTTAATAAACTTTCTACAACTCTAACACCAACTCGCGAATAAAATAAACATTTTGATTACATTCTCTTACATTTTGGTTAATGTATTTTTCTCTCTGAAATGGCTGATTTAGATTTAATAAACGTTATTTATTTTGACTCACATTTGAAATGATCAAAGTAAAAATCAAAGTTAACGGATCTTTTAAAAAAGTATGCTTGTTTGACTATTGTCGAGTGAGTGTAGACCATGTTTGAAAATATGTTACAAAAAGGAGAATATTCAGAGCTAAAGTCTATATAGCCTTGAAAATTGGTTAGAGCTAAAGTTTATACGTGTAGAAAGTTGTTTTGAGCTAAAGCGTATTAGTCTAGAAGGTTGGTTAGAGCTAATTTTTTAAAGTCTAGAAAGTTGATTAGAGTTAAAGTGTACTAGTCTAGAAGACTGTTTAGAGCTAAAGTGTATTAGTCTTGAAAGTTGGTTAGAGCTAAAACGTATTAGTCTAGAAGGTTGGTTATAGATAAAATGTATCAGCCTAGAAGGTTATTTTGGGCAATATTTTATACGCTCAGCGTGCATTATGTTTTTTAACATACGTCATGTACACTTCAAAGCTGGATTTAATTAATGACGCGCTACATTCTCGCGTTGTTATGGGTGCGCGGACCTTTGACCACAGGTGCTTTGACCATAGGGGGTTTGACCGTAGGTGGTTTGACCACAGAGGGGCTTGGACCATAGGGGCTTTGGCCACATCGAGGCTTTGACCATAGGGGCTTTGATCATAGGGGGTTTGACAAAAGGTGTTTTCTCAGCAAATGGTCTTTGATCACAGGTGGTTTGTCCAATGCGGGCGTTTGATAACAAGCGCTTCGTCCATATATGGTACGGATTAATTTAAAAACTGGAATCAAATACACACTATTGGCGATGGAATAGCACGAAAAAATAACATTTGTGAAGGATGGCATTACAGTCTTCAATCTCTCCTCCAATGTAGTCACCAAACAATGTGGCGTTTCTTTAAAGGTCTACATATAGACTGCATACGAAAATAGACAACTTACTTGCAAGGTGTCGCAGGTGCAGGCTACCCTGCTGAGAAGCTATACAGTATGATAAACAAAAAACTACAACGTGCTGTTCAGACATATGGTCATACAGATGTACAGACATATTTCCGTGCTATAGCACATCTGTCATTTAGTTAACCATACAAGTATTACTTCTTTGACTATGGTGTTAGCATGCTTTTTTATCCTTTATATATGTCATGTATTTTCAGATACATCTACATTATTTATTTGTGAATCTTTTTATCTCTCATTATTTGTGTTCCATTTATATTTAGACTTAAATTAAATCTATGAGACCTAGCACCAGCCTTTATATAGAGACTAAAATATCGTTGTTGATTTTTTAGAACATGTTAATTTCAATTAATGGACTCTCGGGAAACATGAATAAAATCGTATGAATAGTATCATAAATTTAAATCAAATAACAGTTTCTAATTTCTATTTTTAAATCTATATATTATAGTTACCCCCCCCCCTTGGTCAAAGGTCATCTGTGGTCAAACCCCCTATGGTCAAACCCCTTATGGTCAAAGCACCTGTGGTCAAAGCGCCTAAGACCATTCTCGTGACGGGAGCCGAATTCAAAACAATCGGTATAGAAGGCTTGTTAAAAATTAATTAGAGATAGGTTGTAGTTCACAGGAAAACAACTTACAATTTATAAAATAGTTATAGACTTGAAAAGCTGGTTCCCAATGGTTCCACATTTTTGTTTCCAGAAAGGATATTTTTCAACCAAAATTGAATATTTTATAAAATGTGTGTAATAAGTATAAAATTACTTCCGGTTTCGATAAGGCTTAGAAATAGTCAAAGAAATAATTACCAGTAAGTTAATAGTAATTTAGCAAATACTTTTATTTTTCATTTGGATTAGTAGAGTCAGAGTATTGTGGTGATCGGGGATGTTATATTATTTAATATAAATACAATACTACGCTATACACCATACATCACTAATGTGTATTTTTTGTTATGGAATACAATGGTTCTCACTTGTATTGTTTTACTCTCGGTTGACTTCTTTGAGAGGTTGAGGTCAGTTTTTTTTAAATTATTCAAACAGTTAAAATAATTCCAAACAGCTTTTTAAAGGCTTATATATGATAGAAACTTATAAAAACTGAGTGTAATCGATGGTTCCCAAAAGGCTTTAATTTTTACATATGTTATAGTGATGTTATCGCTTGCAATATTTTTTAAAAATGTTGCTTTAAAAATTTGGGGTGATTACAAAGACTTTCATGCCTATCATTAAAATACCTATCTAATTTTGCGCACTATGGTTAACGAAGTTGCATTGAAATTTCTTTCGCACCAATAAAGCACTACTGTTATCTGGTCAGGAAATGCCGCATTTTATTTTATTATTTACATCCGATCTACGATAAAAAGATGAACAAAAAGGAATTTTGTGTCCAGATCGTCCAGAGTCTGGAGAATGTGTGGAACGAGAACATTTTATTCGACTTCGCTGTTAAAGTTCAGGATGAAACCATCCAATGTCATCGTCTTATCCTAGCGGCGTGTTCAGAATTTTTTAAGGCATGTTTTCGTTCTGGGATGAGAGAGGTCACAGAAAACTGTCTAGTCCTAAAAGATGTTTCGTGTGAAGCTTTCCGCTTAATCATCAATACTATTTACACTGGAACAAGTCTGTTGACTGCAGAAAATTTTATTGAAGTGTGGCGAGCAGCACATATGCTACAGGTTAAAGTTATGGTTAATGTTTGTGAGGAGTTTGCTATCAGATCATGTTCATTGGACACCTGGGAAAACATTTATCTACATGCAAAGCTTTTCGGTTCAGATAAAGTTCTAGATAAACTCCACACATTCATGTTGAAAAACTTTGAAAAAATTAGATTTTCAACAACATTTCTACAGCTTTCTCTCAAGGAAGTTCAAGATTTGATTAAAAGCCAAGATCTCGTTGTCAGTAAAGAAGATTTAGTTCTTGAATCTGTGATACGATGGGTTGAATATGTTGACGGAAATCAGCTAAATCATAATTTAAATGAGGATCATAACCATACAATCAGCTGTAACGACGCAAAGACTGATATCAATTTATCCAGTGATGAAGCGAAGGAAATTAAAGAAAGTGAGGATGGACTTCATCGTAATAATTGCTTAACCAATTCTAATAAGACAATAGGTAGAGGAATGCATGAAGTAGACACTGCTCATTCATTTGATCATGTAAACTCTTCAAGAAAAGATAAATTTATAGAACTGTTAATGCATGTCAGAACCTGCCTTGTCAGTCACGCTTTCTTATTTCGAGTTCTTAAAATGAGACTGTTTACTGAAATTAAAAATTCTAGAGAATTGATTCTTGACGCCATGTCATATCAGATCCAAGAGTTTAGACACGGTCAGTGGTCTTCAGCGGCTATACACAGATCTTGTAGTGAGTACACAAATGCTGGAGTTTATGTATATGGTAGTGGGATTTTTAAAATAATAACCGCTGACAAAGAACACCAGTTTACAATTACACAATGCAAAAGTTTAAAAAAGAACTTTCAACTCGTCACTTTTGATGGTGAACTTTATGCTACAGGAACTGAAGAACAAAACCCAGACTGTCGAATGTTTGTGTTCTCTGACAAAAGCTGGAAAAAAGTCATGGAAATGCCAAGTCACAATTTGTTATTAGTTTCACACGGAGATTTTATCTACATCATAAACAAAGACGATAAAGTTATATATAACATCAATCCAAAAAAGAGGGAACCAAATTTGGAAAAATTTACAGATCTTCCTTCAAATGATGTTGATGTAAAACATGCAATGATTCTGGAAAATTTTCTTTTGTTATTTTGTTCTGAATCGGTTAACGGTATAGAGAAAACGGCCGTTCATAAATTTGAGATTTTGTCTAAAGTTTGGACCAGATTAGACAATCTTGATGGACCAGCTGAACAGCTGATTAGTTTTAAAAATGACAAGCACAACTACATTTTACAGACAAATGGCAGTTTGTGGCTGGTAGATTACACATCTGGCACCGGTAGTATTGAATTTAAATTTCTTGTCAAACTTTGGAATTTTACAAAGAAGCTATATGGTGCGTTAACCTTTCAAAATAAACTAATAATTTTGGGAAACTACTACCGAAGTGACCCGCCTAATGGAAAAAAAACATATGAGCTACCTGAGCACTTTACGAGAATAATATATTGGGGAAATGACTCGTGCAAATCAAGTTTTGTTCCTATCACAATAACAAAAAATGGGTTTTCCCCTTAATCAAGCTTTATCAAGAATTTACCACTCAAAAACAAAATCCATCTTTTTAAAACAACGTTTAAAATTCTATATTAGATCATCCTCTAACGCATAACTTTAGGTGTTTATGATATTATTTTATATACGATATGCAAGCAAAAACATATATTTGCATAGACATTTTATGAATATTTTAAAATATACCCAACACATGTAAACTGTCTAAAAGTTAATAAATAAAATAACATATTTTATGGTAACCAAGAGTTTCTTGTTGTTGTTGCGTTTAGTCTGG